AAAAAAAAAAAAATCAGGTCTCACCTCCATATCTGAGAAGGCCGTGGTAGCTATTCATGGAGATGGGAATTTGTCTAAATACCTAAGCCAGATTTTCCACATCTAAGGTAATAGATTCAACCACCTTATCTTTTATTCAGTGCCTGGTTTCCAGCCTTTGCTCAGTCTTACAGGTCCCTTAGACACACTCCAAGATTTACAGATACTCTTTCAGTACCAGGTCCTAAAAGCAACATTGATAATCAGAGTTCTGCTAACTACATCGTTATTTCATGGTTGCCATGGGAGATTCACCACCTCCTGTTAGATGTGCCAATTGCATCCAGTAGGAGCTGCCCCTCTCTCCTGTCACCTGTCAAAGGACTTTCTCAGGTGTGGCCCCCTGTGGGGAATGGTCTTTGCCCCCCCCCAACAGAAACACCCAGCTGACTTGTAGGGGTAGGAGGAAAACACGGCTATTCTCTCGCAAACTCAAGTGCTACAAAGAGAAAAGGATGACACCTGTTTGTGGCACATATTCATTTTATCGCCATACTTTTTACATTCTATTTTAGTTTTCCCTGCAAGTTATAATGAATACCTGTTTTTTACAGGAAACCTGAAGTCACCATGTATAAAGAAAGTAAACATCATCTGAACTAACTCGAATGCAACTGTATTATTTAAAACCACATTTCTGGGCTCTAAATCAGTTAGAGCTGGGCCCAAAGACTCTTTTGAAAGTAACCTTCAGGCCAAAGTATCGCTTTAAAGTCTGAGAACTGGTGTTTGGTGTCCAGACACAGAACCACTGCAAACTGTCCCAGTTGTGCCATTCATTGGTTGGGTACAAAGCAAGCTGTAGAAGCAGCAGGACCCTAATTGAGGTTTTTGGGTATTCTCAAGCCCTGCCTGATCATTGTGCAACTCCCCGCCCCTGTAAAAAGTTAGGATTCTCAGATGTAGCCAATACTGCCACCTAGTGGAAGCCGAGCTTCAGAAAGACCAAAGTAAACAGCGCATCCTGCTCATTTCAGAAAACCTGTGAATGGGACACGTTAACAATGAGCCCGTTGAGACTTCCACACTGTGAAAGTCTCAGGATTGAAAGAAATAAGAACGATCATGCAGCTTAAACCCCTTCTCCATACATCCATGCCTAAACAGTATCTGTGTTTTCCTTTTGTTCCAGAGTAACACCACAGAAAATACTTACGTTTCCAGGAACTATAGGCAGAATGAAAAAACAAAAAAAAAAAAAAAAAAAAAAAAAAAAAAAAAAAAAAAAAAAAAAAAGCAGTGATACTGTATCAGCCCCGTAGAAAATTGTTACAATTAAGCTACAAGACCCATAATAGACCCAATAACAAAATAACTGAGCACACTACATTTAAAATCTGAGAAAAGTCTGGATAATTAAGTAAATTATGTAAGATTAAAGTTAATCTCTCCTGGGAGAGATTATTAGGTCTATAATTTAATCAAACTGAATTCTAAATAAAATAAGTTTTTAAATTTTAAAACTAGTAATAAACAACAAATGTGAAAAAGACTCGTCGTCAGTGTTGGTGGAGAAGTGGTGTTAGTGTGAGGGATAAAGGCTTCTTAGCACAATACCAAAGGAAAAAGTGACCAAGACAAGATGGATGGGCTGGACCGATAGCATTTTTAAAAGAATGTAAAACTCCTCTATAGTAAACGATAAACCAAATTAAAAGAAAATAATAATTGCAGTTCTTGCAAGAAAGAGATTAGACCTCTACTATAGGAGAACCATAGCACTTTGGAGAGTCTCTAGGCCTTTCAAGGCCTGTACTTTTTCCATTGCTGCTCGCGTGATTGTCTGTTTATCACACTGAATTGAACGTATATTTATTTTTCTTAGCATTGTTCTCTCAGCTCCTAATATTGTGTACAAACCAAACACTGAAAATAAATTCACTGAACGAGCAGATAGTGAAGGAATGGCATAAGTGATATTCTGTGATTCAGAAAAAGAATCAAACTTTACAGCAGGAATTAAGATAAAGATTCAAGGGAGTAATGCGCCATATATTAAAATAATCCACTGGTAACAAAGAACATGTTTGAATATACTAGGTGAGAGAAAATTACAAATACAAACAATTCAGAAAGACATTCATAGAAATAAGTTCCTGGGAACAATGAGGAAGTTTGAAATATAAACATTCTCTTATAGTCAACAAGAATATAAATCGATCTGATCTTTCTAGAAAATATTATATATTTTTATGCATGCCTAGTAACTTCACATTAAGGAAATTCTCCCTTTAAAAGTTCAGCAATGGGCCAGCGAGATGGCTGAGCGGGAAATGGCTCTTACCACCGAGGAAGTTAGATCCCCTGAAATCACATGCTAGAAGGAGAAAGCTGACCCCTCCTGCAGGCTGGCCTCTAATCTCCACATACACAAGTGTGTATGACACAAGTGTATGTACACACACACACACACACACACACACACTCACACACACACACCAAGTACATGTAATCATATTACTTAATGTTAAGCAAAAAAAAGTGAGTTAAGATGCGTTTGTTTATTATTTTAAAAGTCATACAGGAAAGGACGTCTTGTAAATATGCCTCCATTATATGGTTAAATATGGTACATCCTTTCAATGGATACTGTACACCAACTAAGAATGTGCACCGTATGTATTTACTGAAATGTGCAATCTATGTTATTAAGCAGAGAAGGTTGTAGGAGAGCTTTCAAAGGGTCACCCTCTTACAAACAAACGTGTGTGCATTAAAGAGTCTGAAAGAATGTCTGCCTTCAGGATGACAGCATTTTTCTCTGGGAGGTGAGATTTGGAGCAATTGTATTTTCTTTTTGCATATCTGTGATTTCTGACTTTTTCACAATGAGCATGTAGTACCTGTATAATTTTTTCAGGGAATAAACGATGACGTTGACAATATATATTAAATGAAAAAAAAACATGTTATAAAACAGTATGTATAGTATGACACAATATTTGTAAAAAAAGAAAACCACATATAAATATATCTATGTATGTATATATATATGCATAAGAAAGCTAGAAGGCCATAAACTACAATGTTAATAGCAGTTATCCACGGGTAGTGGGATTATGGGTGATTATTTTTCTTTTGCTTTTCTGTGTTTTCTAATTTTTCTACAATGAACATGTATTACTTGTGTAATAAAAACTAATAATAAAAGTTTAAAAAATACATAAAGGAGACATTTTGCATCATCACTTGTCCTCCCCCTCTTTTTCACCCTCGTATGGCTTACTCCTTGTCAAAACGTAGCCGGCAGGATATGGAGAACGGATGCCAGGGCAACATAAGAACACAGAGGGGAAGGGTGTAGAGGGTGAAAGGGAAGAGAGAGAGAGGGAGGCAGGAAAAGATGAGAGAAGGAAGACCATCCTGTGAAATTGACAGAGGAAAGATTAGAGTCCATAAGCAAACTGAGATGCCCTCAGACAACTGCATGCCATGAGGCAGCAGAAGAAATGAACTCAAGATTGTTATTGCAGCCTAGTGAAGGAATTTAACCGCTGGGGCTGCAGAGGTGGCTCAGCTGTCGCATGCGCTGATGCTGATGGCTCGCCTAGAGGACCCATGTTCCCAGTACCACGTGGCACTTCATAGCTGTCTGTAACTCCAGTCCCAGCAATTCCAAAGCTCGCCTCTGGCTTCTGTGGGCACCGCATGAGCATGGTGCACATATACACATGAGGGCAAAACAGCCCTACATATAAAATAAAAATCAAGAAGTCTTTAAAATAATACAGCCACTTGAATGCGGACTGGCAGAGGCTAAAATGGTAAGCAATTGCTTGCTGCTATCAGCAACCACCAATGCCCAACAGCTGTGAGATGGATGCCAATATGTCAGGAAACGTTGACAGACCTCAGCGAATCTCTGCAGTTCAGGCTTGAGCCGATTAAATGGGCTCACTCTTCAAGATGTATTTACCCGATCTAGGGATAGCTGCTACTAGATTCTGTTGTCACAGTTCTTGGAGAAATATAAGAAAAGAACAGCCCTTAGCACCAATACACATAGTTGATCCCAAGATCACATACTTAATATTTGTTGTCACCCTTTTCTGCCACCCAGTCCTGGGTTCACTTCATTCTGTCACCTCTAAGCTCTGGGACCTCAGTCACTACACACTTATGTGAACTGTACTTTTCTACTCTCCATTAAACCCGAGTTTAATGGAACTGAGTTTAATGGTCATTTGTTGGTATGGCCAACAAATGACCCCATGGGTATCCTATGTGTCAAACATACTCTTCTATGTTCTCATTATGGTTCAGTAGCCGCTCCTACCCCCATCATGAGGACTGGGGTCAATCACCCATTTATTGACATGAGGAATCTAAAGTAATTAGCCGTGGCTTAAACTACATTAAAACTCTCATTTTCTCTTCTCTAATATCCAGGACATCAGACAAATAGATTCTAAAAAGGAGGCATGGATTTCTCAGTGAGTCAAAGGCCTCTTCTCCTGCCAGCTCTTCTCTTTTTAGAGCCATATATTCCTATTAAAGCCACAAGCCATAGAGTGGGCTTTGACACAAGGATTGTAAAGCTTCAGGAAGGACACTGATTGTGCAAGGGTCTCCTTTGAAAAGCATGTCATTACTGTTAGGAGAGAGTATGGCTCTTGGATGAAGATGGCCATCCAAGTTAAGGGTTTGTTAGAGAGCAGCAGACTGAAGGAGAGGCTTCAACCCATTCAGAGAAAGCAGAGTTAGTTCTTTTTAAAGTCCCATGAGAAGAAGGAGGAAGGCTGATTTCACCCAAGTAGACTTAGAGAAGTTATGGCTGGAGAAGCAGTGTGTTTGGCTGGGGGTTTTCTGTGTTTGCTTCTTTCTTTATGTTTCCAGATGAAGGGGTGGTTAGCAGGTCCTAAGGAAGGCTGTTCCTGGAAAGGGGGCTAGTTGGGGGGGCATCTAGAAGAACAATGGACCCATCCACTCTGCAGCCCTTCTCCATTTGGGGGTTGTTATCTGGAAATTCCCTGTCTCAGGAGGGAGAGAGGGAGGGAGGGAGGGAGAGCAGTGAAGTCGGAAAGACACTCAGGGATGCAGCCATCTGGGTCTGTGTTGCCGTTCACCTCGCACAGAGGATTTGTGGCCTAAGTCTCTCCACTAGATGGAGCTTCTGCAGATGTAACCAGTGGCAGGAAACAGGAGCTGCCGCAGCTTCCACAGATACACATTCTGTGCTGACAGGGAGGGGGGTCTCACAGTCTTATGCAGGGTCCCACGTCAGTAGATTAGACCCTAAGTCCACGGAGGTGGCGTTGGCTGACCTCCTGCAGACAGCAGAGGCAGAGCTCTCCAGAAGACAGGTTCATTCCAGTCAGGGCAGGTGTCCTCATTCCCAAGTCCTTTCTTTGTGACAAAGGTACAACAGTTGATGTCTGCTTGACAACAGGGAAGACATTCAGTGGCCTGGTAGCATAACAAATTGCCAAATACACAGTGGCTTAAGACAAGCATGGCGTTAACCTTTCTAGATGTTAAATCCATTTCAATGTTCTTAAATCAAGGAATCCACAGGCTCAAAGCCTCTAGAACCTTTACAGGTTCAAAAAGCCTCCTGCATTCCTTGGCTCGTGGCCCCTTCTAGTAGAGAGGAATGTGATGGT